TTTAATAAATATTATTTTTTTGTTGTTGTTTGTTTTGGGAACAGTGCCAGTAACTCTGAAATGCTGTAATAGTCCCTGTCATTATTTTCTTTCTAAAAATTTCAAAGATTTCTTGGCCATGATCACACCTTAATTTTTCTATTTACGTTGTTGAATTTCAATTCATCAAACTCTGAGAAAAACATGAAAGCACAATAAAGATTTCAATTGATAATGCATTAGATTTATATATTAAGTGGGGGAAGTTTGACATCTTAGAAAATTGAATCTTTTCATCTACGATGTTAACATTTATTTAGGTTTTGTTTTATGCTCTTTAATTACATTGAGGCCGAAGAATTGATTTTCCTAGCTTTCCCCTTGCTATCCTTGGCACTGGCTCTCCTCCCTCAGAACAGGCAGAGGCAGCTTCAGAATTTCATTAACACTTTGAGATATTGTCTCTTTCTAAGTCATTCAAACAGCCTTGTGAGGGGTGATGGGGCATTTTGATCTCATAGATGAAGATTGTAAAAGGAAGGTACAAAGGAAAGTAATAATTTTAAACACCTATGTATCAAATGTTTATATTTTTAATTAATCTTAGGCAGGTCTACTATCCCTATTTTTCATACAAGGAAACTGACGTTGAGAGAAGTTAAATCAGTGTGGCCACGGCACACAATTAATGAAGGGAAAGAGCTCAAACCCTGGAATTGGGACCTCCAGATCAGATGTTCTAAAAGACAGTGGCCACTACTCCCCTGCTTGTGCTGTCTCGTCCTCTGCATTTGTCATTTTTCTAAATCAAGTTGATTCCAGACAAATTGGTCTGGTTTTGGGGGCAAGCTGCCCTTCCCAAGTTTAGTTTTTGAACCTGTCAGAATGGCAGTGCTTCCCAGGAGTCAACCAAGAGTGCTTGTCTTTCTGTTTCATAGGACATGGTCTGGGTGCCCAGAGGCCTAGTTGTGGACAGTACCTAGCAGGAACCCTGGGTAGAAGGAAAATTGACAAAGGTCCCCAATTTTCTCATACACTTGAGTCTTGCTGTTGTTGTTGTTGTTGTTATTATTATTATTATTATTATTATTATTATTATTATTTTGGTTCCAGGGATTGAACCCAGGAGTTCTTAACCACTGAGCCACATCCCCAGCCCTTTTAAAACATATTTTACTTAGAGACAGGGTCTCACTGAGTTGTTTAGAGCTTTGCTAAGTCACTGAGGCTGGCTTTGAACTTGCAATCCTCCTGCCTCAACTTCAGGAGCCTCTGGGATTGCATATGAGTGTCACGGCACCCGGTGGGAACTTCCATTATTAATAAGGGATGAGAATGAGAGTGACTAGGAACAGGTGTTTGATCTGGACTTTCCTTCCCACTAAGCATCCTCAGCCAGGAAAGAGCCTTTCTCCTAGCACAGCAGCCCTGGCCGTCAGCAGGGGTGTCTGATGCCCTGTTGTTCCTGAGTATGTACACTGTAAGGGTCCATCACTTGTCCTTTTGTCATTTTTACAGAAACAAGGTATCAAATGCTTGTTTTTCTGTTTTTCACAGTGGACACTTGAGTGAGGAGGCAGAATTTTAATCTCCTCCCTGATTCTTCTTATGTATGTATGTGAATGTACATTTATTGCCTCTCTAATATTTCAATGGAATGGCTCCTGCTGCAGAATCCTGGCTCTGAGAAGGACCCCAGGAGGCCACCTGCCCCAGTGTCTGCTGGCTTCAGTTTCACTTGAAGAAACTGTTTCATATATTGAGACTTTGAGTAATGTTTCATCAGATAAAAATACTTTTTTAAGAGGGAAGGAATTCCAGAGGTGCACATATAAGCATTCTGCTTACTTTCCTAGGTTGTTTGGATGGTGATAATTTGGGATGAAGGCAGATCTGAATGACTGTGAGGACACTGGAAATAGGATTTATGTCTTGGAAACTCAGCAAGTATTTCTAGAGCACCCATCCTGCCAAGGATGTCGAACAGCTCCATAATGGCACTCCCTGGAGTTAAGCAATGCAATGACCTCACATGACCCTGTGTATAACTAACTATATTAGATGCCCTTTGATAGGGGTACAAGGTGGTAAGAGAGAAAATAGTTCAGGACTCTGCTCTTGGAGTGGATTATGACATATTTAAAGAAACAGTCCCTAGTTGTTAAGTTTTTTTTTGGGGGGGGGAGGGTGGTCAATACATAGCAGCACCCTGCACATGTCAGAACCCATCAGGATATAAGAATCAGGAAAATAAAGGTTGAAATATCACTTTTGTGACAAATAAAGCTGATCCTGGAGAGCATAGTTTATATCTATGGGCAAGAGAGTTTCTAAAAGTGAACCCGTCAATCTTAATTACCCACCTGTCTCAGGTAGCACTGGAGAACTGCAGGCTTCTTCTCCCACTAGCTATCACCGCTGCCCCTTGCTTTTCCTCCTAACATGTATAGCATGGGGGAGCATGCTGTTTGAGTTACATGTCCAGTTCTTTCCAAGTCCAGAGGAAAAGACTTGAGTGTTACATTCAAAGATGCCCCCTGCCCACCACAGGGAAATACTCCATCAAAGAAAAGGAAATTCCTACCCTCAACAAGCCCCCTTGATGAACTCAAATTGAACTCTATGGCAATACATACCAATTATATGAATTTTGGATACTAGATAGATTTTTAGATATGGAAGGGGAATGATCAGAGTAGTACATGTTTAATCAGGGAACATTTCTGGAAAAGGCAGCGGGCACACTTTCATGGAGAGAGGCATACAATATGAACAGATTGACCTGTTGAACTGGGTAGAGTTTGTGATGAACTTGAACTGTGGAAAAATGAAAAAGGCCACCTAAAATGGCTAATATGGTGGCGTTCACGATCTCAGAGATGTGGGTTAGCATCATCGACTGCAATAGCTGAAATATGAAGATTAGATGGAATAGTTCCAACTGAACAAGTTCCTGGGCATCTGGCCCAGATGGTGTGGTGTCATGCATCTGACTTCATCTAAGAAGGGGATGGTACTGGGGACTTTAGCAAGATGACGCTCTTGGTATTAGACATGATGAGTGGTGCTCCTCTCATTGGATTTGTTACTAGTTTGATAAATTAGAAGTGTTTTCATCTGAAAAATAACTACCTAAGAATTTTTGAAACAAAAAGAAAATGGTTTTCTGGTTTGTTTCCTTTTTGTTTTACCAGCTAGGATACAACTGAAAGCTGTGAGTGTGTGGGCTCAATTGCCGTGATGCTTTCTTTTGGGCTTTCTGATGCTTTTTTGAAAATGGTTTAAAATCCCACAGATTCTGAGGAGGGGACTGGGAGAAATAATAACAGACCTTCCAAGAACAGTAAATAATT